AAACTTAGCTTGGCCTCACTATTACCGGATCACTTTCCATACAGTGAACTGACTCTCGGACACACTGAATTCAAATAGCACTGATTTATTAAACGTTTTGCATTATTGACGTATAAGTCAAAGCAGTCTACACAAGAAGTTTCCAGTTTGGTTCGATTAGTGTTGGTATGAGTTGGGGGTCTTTAATTATCGGAAAATTAGAGTTTTGGCTAAGGTTTTCCAATTTACACATTTTCACATTTAGAAGGCGCTACCTTATTAGTTAGTTTTTATTACTGTACGATGCAGTGCCATCTGTTGGAAAAAAACAACGTTACTCCTTTAGACTAAAAACATTAAACGTGGTAGTAGTGTTTTGTAAATCATTTGGTTTATAAAAAAAAGCAGGTTTGTGAACAGTTATGAATTCCTGTTGGGATCTTACAAAAATCTTTTTTAACCAACAAGTCGGATCAAATTTTATATGACAGCCCGGAATTTAATCCCGTTCGGATAAAAAAGTCATAATTTAATCTTTTTAGGATGACATATATCTTTTCAGACTTAAAGTACAAAATTTTATTCCAGATTCGGATAAAAAAGTATTAATACAATCTTTTTTAGGATAACATAAATTTCTCGGGCTTAAAGTAATCCCAAAAATACAAAATTAAACCTTTTTTATCCAAAACGGGATTGAAATTTTTGATCTCGGAATAAATTAAAATCAAGAATAAAAAAAAATTTTTTTGAGTGTATGTTACCTACAATTTATAATTCGTGCACATAACTATTTATTATAGTAACCCTTACGTTTACGATTTACTTAAGAGTAACAATTTACTTAGTAGAATTGACCATTTTTATGGTTAGGGCCTGTTTGACAATTATTACAGTTGATTTTACCAATTTTTTTTTTGTGTGTAGGCTTTGACTGACTCAAATTATGATGGAACCTTGAATACAATTATGTAGAAGGGCACCTAAGCTATTATTTGGTATAGGTTTTACTATAATTGAGCACGGACCCTCGAAGATATCTTAAGTCAAAAAATTAAATGTTGCTACCTTTTTCAAACCGCGAAAAAAAATATTACAATTTTTTAAAAATATTTTTCCAAAAAATAAATAGCAATACTTTTTTCAGTGTATTTTTTCAGTGTTCTTTACCAACTACAGAGTTTAAAACCATTTAAAAATTAAGTTTAATTCATTATGAAAAAGATCAAAAAAATAATTGGGGATCGGACAAAGGTTTTTTGCATTTTGAATTTGTCGGTGGACGCACAGACGTTTTATTGATCGATTCGCGGAAACATCATAAAAAAGTGATTGCACCTTTTTTGAAAAAGCGCTAAAAATGATATTTTCTGACTTCTACAACTCCGTTGAAACTTAAAATTTCTCAAAACCGTTCAAATTAAGTTTTTTCTTTGTCGTTGTGAACCGGAAAAGTAAACAAGCTTGACGAAAATCTGACCTTCGAATCGGGGGTGGCCCACTGGGAAGATTTTGACTCACTGTTATTACCCCAGTACTGGGGCTAGACTGGTTTAAAAAATATTTTGAAATTTTGTAACGTTCCTCGAAGGCTTTGCAGTTGACTTCAAAATGATGTAGGACAAAGTTATAGCCAAAAGAACAGTCTTTCCGATGATACCAGTCTCATTCCAATGGCACTTTATTTATAGTTGCTATGTCTAACCAAACGTTTTCTCATATTAGTGCCCCCTTCTCCCCTACTACAGTCTGAGATACATATTTTCAAAGAGATGGTGCTAAAAATAAAGTTTAAAGTTTTTTAGCAATCTTTAAAAAGTTCGAAATAAATTATTTTTTTTTTAGCAACACTTATACCCGTGTTTTTTTAATTTGCCTGATTATAATCATATAATTATATACACACAAAAAAATAACTTGGTAAAATCAATTGTAATAATTGTCAAACAGGCCCCAACCATAAAAATTGTCAATTCTAGTAAATAGCTAATCTTACGTAATTTGTAATCGTAAGGGTTACTATAAAAAATAGTTATGCAACTGTAAAAAAGGGTAGAATGTGCCCGAACCATAAATGTAGTTAGCTTACAATTTTTTATAGTTATTTCTCAGTAATTTATAAGTAATATTAAAAAGGTAGTTGTCCAATTTCCTTTTCCAAAAGTGACTTTATCCTACATATCCTTGTAAAGGTACGGGTTGTACTTGACTTCCAGCTAGTGTGGAATTATATAAAAGACTAAAGACAGAAAAGAAGTCTCAATGACTCAGAAACTGACTTGGGCTTAGTTCATGAGGCATCGCAGAAGATTTGTAAAATTACTGTTGCATACTTTTATACTAAATAAGTTACGTTAGGCTAACAATTGTTCATAGTTCAGCAACTATTTAATATAATTTCAAGGTACAACAACAAATTACACACATCCCGTAAGCGTAACAATTTTAATTGTAGATTTTTTGATTGCGCATAACAAAATGGCATTTATAGGTACTTCTCGGAAATCTTTAAAGGTTTGGGCGCCAGACACATTTTAAAATTGTTAGGGGGCGATTGTGGGCGTTATAGGGGGCGTGCCGCTCGGCTAAAATAAACTTGCGCTGGGTAAGAAGCCCAAGAATATGTGTGGGAAATCTCAACCTTCTAGCTTTTGTAGTTTCCGAGATCTCAGCGTTCATACAGACGGACAGACGGACAGACAGATAGACAGACAGACAGACAGACGGACAGACAGACGGTCAGACGGACATGGCTATCTCGACTCGGCTAGTGACCCTGATCAAGAATATATATACTTTATAGGGTCGGAAACGCTTCTTTCTCCCTGTTACATACTTTTGCACGAATGCAAATACCCTTTTACTCTACGAGTAACGGGTATAAAAAGCAAGTTACTATATGTGGACTATATGGACTAATACCCCTGCGGATCGTTCATACACACAAAAAAAAACTTGGTAAAATCAACTGTAATAATTGTCAAACAGGCCCCAACCAGCAAAATTGTCAATTCTACTTAGTAAATAGTCATTTCACAACAACAAAATACACACAATTAGCAAAGACACAAACCCAAAGCAAAAACAAAGTACACGTAACTATTTTAATAGTTACGTAACTATCTTTGTTGGTCAATTTTACCAAGCAAATTTTTTTTTGTGTAGGATAGCTACATGAATGGTGATACTGGCCATGTAAGGCATTCATAAATGTGGGTGCTATACAGGCTTTAGTGAAAAGGGCGTTTGTGGGCATGGCTATCTTTTTTTTAAGCTTAATTAGTTGGTATTGACGAAGCAAGTGCATTTCAGTTTTAATTTTCATTCTTGCTTCAAAACCGTGGACGCCATTGTTTTTATACCCGTTACTCGTAGAGTAAAAGGGTATATTGCAGACACTTTCAATATGTTCGACAAATAACACTTATTTACTGACACATTGGGAAAATTCTCAGAACGAAACAGTTTAATTTCTGTTTTCAGTTTTTTCTGTCTTTGCTCAACAGTTTGTTTTGTGTCAAAAGTGTTTCTGTTTTCCTGAGACAGTTATTCTGGGACAGTTATTCATATGTGTCTCAAGTAAATAATCTTCCTCTGAGATCGATTTCAATGAGCATCGTGAATTACCGTCGACAAGTCACCCATGCGCTGCTGAAGAAGTTACCCTTTTCTCTGAATTTTTAGATGGTGTCCAGTCATTATCACAAACAAAGGAAGATGCTTCGCGTGAACCACTATCAAAAATGTATGCAGATGTGGAGAGTTTTGACATGAACTTTAATATATTGCAGTTTTATAATGACCTGAAGATGCAATCGCCGTATTTAAGTGCTCTTGCCCGGGTAGAGCACGAAGCTCTCTTAGTGCGCAAAACATAAATTCGCTTTTAGTTTTGAAGCTAAACGCCGAATAAAGTTTATTCGATAAATTGGTCAAACATCAGATTTTTATATACAATCATGAACAAATTTTTATAAAATAAATTATTATTCGGCAATACGAAGTTTACATATATACGCTAAAACCATATCACGCATAAACAGTGTATTTATATAACTATATGGAACAGACTTAATATTTTTAAGTTAGAAATAAGCAGTCAATCCAAAAAGACACTTATTCTGAGACAGTTGTAGGTTTTGATCATTCAAAAACACTTATTCAGTGAGGTGAAAGCAAAAGTCTCCCTTTTTTCTGTTATTGAGAGACAGAAATAAAGTTTGTGTCACCCGAAATCAGTCAACAGAAAACACTTTAAAAGAAAAAATAACTGTTTTCTGTCCGAGACTGACAGAAAATTTTAGATTTTTTCTGTTTTGTGAGTAACAAGACAGTGTCAGAAATAAGTGTTAACAGTTATTTACGAGCTCTGGTATATTGTATTCGTGCAAAATAATGTAACAGCTACAAGAAAGCGTTTCCGACCCTATAAAGTATATATGTTCTTGATCGGGTCACTAGCCAAGTCCGTCTGTATGTCTGTCTGTCCGTATGAACGCTGAGATTTCGGAAACTACAAAAGCTGGAAGGTTGGGATGTCCCACACATATTCTTGGGCTTCCTACTCAGCGCAAGTTTATTTAAGCCGAGCGCCACGCCCCTCTTACGCCCACAACCGCCCACTAACGATTTTAAAATGTGTCTGGCGCCCACACCCTTTAAGATTTCCGAGAAGCTAAATTCAATTTTGTTGTGTATATGTATGGAAATGTAGAAGACATTTTTGAAATCTGACTATTCTTTAAAAAGTTATGCGCAATCAAAAAAATTGTATATATCCATCTCCCTCGCACTCCCTTAAGCCGAGTGACAGGTATTAGATAGTTGGGACACCAACCCGACTATAGCGTTCTCTCTTGTTTATTGTGGAATCTCGACTCTGTAGCTCTTGTAGTTTTTGAGATCTCAGCGTTCAGTCAGTCATTTCTCCCCTTAGGAGTGTCTGGATGTAACAACTTATTAGACCTTACCGAGAGACATAAAATTGTTAGTACTCTACTAATCAAATACTCCACTTGCAGTCTGGCCAACTCACTGTTGGTTCAACGGGCAACGCCGTCCCCTACGTGTGCATCCAATGGAGCGTGGACCGTGCATTCTGTAACGCCAGAGATTCAAAGCTCAATTAAGGAAGTTACATCCGCAATCGTTCACTACGTGAACGACCAGCAGCAGTCCCAACATCCACATAGCCGACTGGCCAGTCCAAATTCGAGGTAAGCAAACAGGTACTAGAAAATTTCAAAATTACGACTAAAATAAACGATCCATCAAACTCTATTACTGTCCTTCCGCCCATAGCTAAACTGTCTCTCCTGCGCACCTCAAAACCACCCATTTTGACCCCATTATCTATGCCTCATATTAATTTTTATCTTTGACAACTACACAACTCCTAGCTACCTATAAGGTAACACATACGAGAACAAAAATTAGAAAGGCCACCAAAAGTCAAAACTTAAAAATACCGCCAGCTCTTCCAGAGGTATAAGTTGTATTTAATGTCAAGCATTCTCTTTCGTGTGGTTAACATATGTGACTTACCCACAGCGCACATTTAATGCAGTAACACACTCATAGAAATTTTTCGGTAAAATCGCCCTAAAAACAAGGAAAATCGCCCTAAAACGGGGGTCAATGGCGACTCGGCAATAAAATAAGGACAATTTACTTTAAAAATACTTAAATATAGGGCGATTGTTCTATTTTTAAAGGTAATTGTCCTGAAAATAAGAACTAAAACCTTTGAACTAAAGGCATTTTCCTTTAAAACCAGGGCGAATTTTCCTGACTAAAAAAATCATCCACTTAGAAAAATCCCTACAAAAAAATAGGTAAAACCAATGAGTCCTAACTTGGCCAAGCTATGCAAGTCTGCAATGATTTGTATTTTGTGAGTTTTATTTTTAAAAATCAATGGTTAAAGTTTATTTTTTTAATTTTATTATAAAACTCTGGCAGTAATCCTTATTAATGAGTCAAAAAAATAAAAATCATCAATAACGATTATGTGTGAGCTTCATTTTATAAAACTCAAAATAAAAATCAATTCGCTTTTGCGGCCATTATATTGGGAATTTAAATATAGTTTAAATTGGTTCTTGTTCGTTTGGCTTGTAGTTTCAAAACATATAATAAAAAAAATTATATTTTAACATTAAGCTATTTTATAAATTGAATTAAGGTGGAAAATGGCGCTTTTGTACAACTATTTTGTGAAGGCAGGATAAATACTGGTTTTTATGGATCTAACTTTGCAAGATTAAGTTGCAAGATCTTTGAAGTTGTTCGCAATACAAAGTTAAGCCGGAAGAATTCGCGAATTTTATTTGATCCGTTCTTTCATAAACCAAAAAGGAAGAACTACAATACAAGTAATTAAATTTAATGTCCGTCCTCAGCCATTTAACGCCTAAGAAGTCGCGGATTTCTCATATAAAGTAAAAAGGGGGACATTTTTATGTTAAACAAGAGAGAACGCTCTGGTCGGGTTGGTGTCCCGATTATATAATACCCGTCAATCAGCTAAAGGGAGCGCGAGGGAGATAAATATATAAACAATTTTGATTGCGTATAACTTTTTATTGAATGGTCCGATTTGAAAAATGTCTACATTTCGATAGGTATAAGTATACACAACAAAATTGCATTTATACTTTTTGGAAATCTTTAATGGTGTGGGCGCCAGACACATTTAAAAATTGTTAGTGGGCGATTGTGGGCGCTAGAGGTGGCGTGGCGCTCGGCTAAAATAAACTTCTAGCTTTTGTAGTTTCCGAGATCTCAGCGTTCATACAGACGGACAGACGGAGATACGGACATGGCTAGATCGACTCGGCTAGTGATCCTGATCAAGAATATATATACTTTATGGGGTCGGAAAAGCTTCCTTCTAGCTGTTACATACTTTTACCGAAAAACGACCAGGGCTGGACGCATACACTAAATATCGAATATTCAATAATTATCGAATTTTATTTGACTTATTTGGACTATTTTCCAATAAGTTTTAAACTTAATTTATGTTTTTCTTTCAAAATTACAAAAAGAATATATATGTTTAAAAATTTGAATTACCCGCCAGGCTACATATTGCAGCCCTGAACAACGGTTTGCCGCGGCTGCGTTGGTTTATTTTCATTTCTAAGTTGCACACTGGGCCAGAAAGTTTATTTTTTGGCCAAAAATCTGTAATTTCTTTCCTAGGACAGTTAGAAGGATGCAGTTTTTTGCGTTTTTTTCTTAAAAGATTGAACTTTCCAACGAACTAAAAGTAAAATTTCTTGGAATTTTATATGATATAGATAATCCAGACCAAAGTCGGAAAATTTTACGTACTTTTCGGTTTTTTATTTTTAAAAAAATAACTAGAAGACGCACTTCTTCCATTTTCGAAAACAATAAAGTATGAGATAAAACAAACTAAAAAAAATTAACCTCACTAAAAAATATTATGTCGTTTAAGATTTATGAACCGTTAAAAACTGCAACTTTCGGAGACTCCCACATCAACGTTTATCAAACAATCGATTTAAAAAAATTTTCTATTTTTTTTTCTTGTTATCTCCTAAGTTTTATATAATCAAATTATTAAAAAAAATGGTTTTAAAAAAATTGTTTTTTAAATTGTTTAATGTTAATTTGACATATTCTGAAGTCATCACAAAAGTATGCTACATTTTTATTTGCATAGTCCTGATTAAATAGATAGATATAGATTTCGAAAATACCATAATCGATTAGTGTACGTAAAAAGTAGATTTCAGATGTTAGTCACACTAAAATCAAATTTTTTCGCGCAAAATGTTCACTAAAACCTAAAGAAAAAAAGTACGGCATACTTTTGGGCTCTCTTAGCTAAGCTCTTCAAAATAGCTTGACTTCGAGTTAAGCCTTCAATTAAAACTTAAATTACCGAAAACTAAGGCAAAACCGCATCGAGTCAGTGGGCTACGCTTTTAGTAAATTGATCAACGAATTTTTTTTTGAAGAAATAAACTAATTTGTGGATGGCACTCAAAGGCACTTGAAAAGCAAAGTACTCATTTGCTAAAAAAAGCCGTAAGAATCAACAAATACATTTGTTTTAGGAAACAAGTAAGACATACGACCTATATTATATTTTTTATTGGTTGAAAGTAATCACATCTACAAGTTTTGTGAAGAGTCGAACAGCAACATCAGCGTCTTTAACTTCAAGATTTTTTTTCATTTCCATCAATATTTGATGAATTTTCCACTTTGAAAATATGGTAAAAGAAACCTACATGCCCGAATTCTTTGAAACTTTGGCATAAATTAGTTTAATGTATTATAAAACGGAATCCAAACTCAATTTGGTCATTTTCTTAAAAAAGAAAAACGTATTTTTGGCCAAAAATCTGATTGGCTGGCCCAGTGTGAGTTGGCAAGATTTTTAAAAGCGAACCAAAATGCCGACTGCTCTAGAGTACTTGCGAAGGCATAAACTGCGAGAGGCTAGGACGCAGAGGAGATCCTTACAAACGTTTTTACATGGACTACCATGGAGATTTAACTCATTGGCCAGGTCCTTTCACAAGAATGCGGCCGCCCTGAGTAAATACTTTGGCAATGTCGATATTATCGCGAATGAATCGGAAGAATATGGTGTCTTGCGCTGGTAACCTATGTTTACCCATGAAAGTTAGCAAAGCTTATTAGTTTAAATTAATAATAAACAAAAATGTTGTACTTTTTTACTTACATGTCTTCTTCTTCTTCACAGCCAGCGTTTTACCTGGCAAAAATAAGACATTTTTTCACGACAGTGATGCCAACTTTTTGCAAAGGCGGCCTGTTTTTATTAATTTCTCAATACCTACAACTTCTTTTACCATAAAATTTTTACCAGAAATTAGTTTCATTTTTAACTACAATACTAAGTACCTTTGAATAAATAATTCGTTAACAAAACATTTCGATAACTAACTCCGAAATTTGGACAATTTTGGTATTTTAAAGTGCTAGCTAATTGGTAACACTTCCAGGTAGACGGTTTGCCGACGGATTTTTTTTAGCTAATTTTTTCGAGAGGTTTTATAAAAAGCATATTTTTAAATATAAACCGAAGTAGGTATAAAAATCGTAGTATGCAGGTAGTACATAAAATTCATTAGAGTTGTCTTAAATAAAGTTATATTTTTGGGAAACATTTGTATTCGGGAGAAATTCGGTTGGAATGGTTTTCTGTGACACCCCCGAATATACCCTTTTACTCTACTAGTAACGGGTATAATAATATGTTATAAATTGTGGTCTTCTTATCTGCTCGCACGTCCGTTAACCAACCTTTAACAAAAATTCTGCGATCTTGCACGGGCGCGTTATTGTTCGCGTTAAGTACGGGACGGCGGATTTTAAGCGCGGGTCGGGTCAAGATGCATGGCTGCGGCGGAGATGCATGAGTTGCCGACGCAACAAAGACAATAATATAATATCCCTGGAACCATTTTTAAAACGTGTGACCAGATTTTAATATTTCGACTTTCGAAAAAAGTTGCGAAAAAGGCCAATAAAAATTGTTTTAAAATGGTTCTTGTGTTGTTTTATGTATCGTTATTAAAATTGTTATTGTTAACAAATTAAACATACTCACTTGTAAATGTTTTGCCCACAGTGTAGAAAGAAGTAAATTAACTTAAAGCCTTTTTTGTACTGTTTTTTTTTACTACAGGAAGTGCTGGCTGGAGAGCAGCTTTGTGGGCATACGACGCCTGGATTCTCCGCAGACACCCGTGATTGACAATAGCTCTCCTGAATTAGAACTCGAGCATCAGCACCAGCAGCTTCACCAGTTCCGCCCCCACGTGGATGCCAGTCTGTCGCCGGCAGCCGTCGAAGGACAGCCGCCACTTCGCATGAACGGAATCAGCCGTATCGGCGGCGGTGGCGGTGAGATCCATTTCTGATTACTAGCCAGCGACTCGTACTTCTTTATTTTCACAATCAAATGTCATTAGACTATCATCATACAACTTTAAATTACGTATACGTAGATATTGACTCTTGAATTCCGTAGAGAAATCCTCAGCCTGCATACAAATAAAAATACATTTTATTTTTCTTCTATGTTCTGTTCAAAAGGAGCGTAAAAAGCGATGCAATTAAATTTTGTTTTATCGAATGCGCATGATTTTTATTTAATTTGGGGATTATTTTCAACAAATTTTTATACTTTTAAACCATATCAAAAACATATTTACTTTATCTTTTACAATCAATAAAATAACTATCGTTGTAAAATTAATTATTGTAATATGCGGTAAAATTGTTAGGCCGTTGTTAAAAACAATTTCTTTAGCCTATGAATTAAGGCACAATGTTTTTCAAATCGAAACAAAAAGAAAATAACTAAATCACTCAAAAGAAAAATTTACTGATCATTATTCAAGTTGGAAAGATAAAAACATTAGTCCTAATGCCGATGTCAATGTTGGTGCAAAAAGCTAATAAGCTTTGCACTAGTGTGCCGCTTTTACAGTTGCCTCTTAATACCTCCTGAGTCCAATAATATTGTATCGCAATTTACGACCACTTTGACATACGCCTAAGCGTGCAATAAAATGTACTTATTTATTTATTGATATTTTTGACCGCTATTAGTCAAGATAAACTCTGTATACAACAATACAGAACTATTTTTGTATGGATGTTTTTAAAAATAAATAATAATTTGACTATATAAAAAGCTGGATTAACCTTTGTTATTTTGGCTATAATAAAACCGACTTAACTTAAACTGGTTTTAATTTACTCATTTACATAGTTTGTTTTGTTTGAGGAGTGTTGAGTTTTTATTATTGGTTCTTAAACACTTTCCCACATTCCCCAGTACAAACACCACCTTGCACATAACATTTTTTGCTGATCATTTGCTGAATGTAGTTTAATAGCTGGTGTGCTCCTGGAATACATTGGAGTTATTTATATTTTATTTCACCTATTTTGAAGACGTAAAAAATATGTGTATTTGCGTAACTTATTAAAAACAACAAATACGTAATATAGCGCCCGAGCGGTCGATAAGCAGCGCCTCGCTAGAAGATGTCCTGGCATCGCTTTTAGGACTGCCAACTACCTCCTCATCAAGACAGAACAGCAATCACAACAGCACCAACAGATTAAAAGCGTCTCCGTTCACAACAGGTATGCACCTGTAAGTTTATGTTCCAATATAACCAAATAACAATAATAGGCTAAACCACCAAATATGTACATAAGTAAAGACAAAAAAAAACCCTTTTGTTCAAAAATATCACTCCTAGTTAAATTACAGTCGTTCTAATTGAAATAATGAAAAAAAATTTAGATGTGTACTTGTTAATAGAGATGCTATACCATCGATGTAACTTTAGATATTATCGATGTTTTTAAAAACGGCGATACATCGATGTAGTTTTTCAACCATCGATGTATCACTAAAAGAAAGAGACGCTAAGCAGCCGTAAGTAAACTTGATAAATGAGCACAATTTTTCCAATATTTTAACTTTTACTTTCATTTGAAACCCCTTAGGACATTTCCTCGTTGTGGATAAAGTGCAGTTTTTTAAGAAATGGACTTGTTTTTTTTATTTTATTTTCTTTATTTTCGTTTTGTTCTTCATGTTCCTTAAGTTTTCGTTAAATAAATATATGTTAGTATTAAGGTTCAGCAAAACAATCATTATACCCTTGTAGAGGGTATTATAATTTCAGTCAGATGTTTGCAACGCAGTGAAGGAGACGTTTCCGACCACATACAAGGGTATATAAGCTTCGGCTGGCCGAAGGTAGCTTCCTTTCTTGTTTTATTAGCAATTCGATCAATTTATGGGAAATTAAAAAAAAAAAAAATAAACAAATTTTCGATGGTGTAAGCGATATATCGAAGTTTTCAACCATCGATTGTGAAAACATCGATGAACCCACCATCGATGGTTTTGCATCTCTACGGTATAGGGTAAAATAGATACTTTTCATAAAATTTTATTGGACTCTTCTATTCTGAAATGGAGTACATTTGTGCTTTTTTTCTATCCTTTTTCTACTATTAAAAATGCGGACCTCCGCGTCAAACAGCTATGGTCCATATTTTAGTGAGTTTATTATTTTTCTTCCTTGATTTCCGATCTAAGCGATATATCAAGGTTTTCAACCATCGATGCTTCCAAGAAGAGGAAGAAGTCATAAAAAGGGGTTGACGGACCGTCAAGACGCAGTGCTTTTTGTAATGCACAGCTGATTGTCGATTGTGAATAGGTAGTCTTGACAGCTGAATCAAAAAAATACAAATTAAGAAGGTTGCCTGATTCCTCAACATCCCGGCCTACCCTGAAACTTAGTTTCTGAATTCGGAAAAATTGATAGTTTTGAAATCGGACGAACAAGCTCTCCTGATGGGCAGCCTGACGGCCTGACGAATCCATCGTAGCTTGGTTATAATTCAGTCACGCGCGGGAGACAACTAGGAAAAGTAGGATGTGGGAATAATGGTCTTGAATTGACAACAGATTCGATTTGCCAAGGGAGTATGCATTTGCTCAAATGTCAGGAATGCTTTTCCAACAGAGCATGTAAAAAACAGTTGATCGTTTTTTCGTTTGCTGTTTCGGTCTGAACGAAACCGAAAAAAATTTAAAAATTTGGTTTCGGGCTGAGCGAAACCCTTCATTTGAGTTTGTTTCGGTTTTCGGTTGACCGTTCTCAACTGAAAATAAATTTTTTCGGTCCTTCCAAAAACCGATTTTAGGGATCGTTTGTATGAAACGGTCCCAAAAAACTGTTAGTAGATGAACAAAACTTTGAAATGCTCAGTAAAAACGGTCTTTTTTGACAGTTCTGCCTTTCCTTTGCCTTACACCTTTAAAAATTTAAGCTGATATATAGAACATCTATTTGAAAATACATATATGGTAAATAACAATTTTTAGCACCAGGTGCATTACAATTGCTGATACCATTATCTTCTAAAGAATACGCTGTTTTTAAGTTTTATGATAAAGCGCCATTGGTGATGTTGTTATACGAGTAAAGACATACAATGACCATCATCTCCTGAAGAATTCGCGGATTTAAGTCTTGAATTATAAAGCCTCTAAGTGATGTTATACGAGTAAATATATACAATGGCCATCATCTTCTGTATAACTCGCGGTTTCTAAAGAATACGCTGTTTTCAAGTTTTATGATAAAGCGAGTAAGGATATACAATGGCCATATTCTCCTGAAGAATTCGCGGATTAAAGTCTTTTAAGATATACCCTCTAGGTGATGGTGTAAGTAAGTATACATAATGGCCATCATCTTCTGAAGAACTCGCGGTTTTTTATTTTGATTGATAAAGCGTCTAAGAGATAGTATTATCCGAGTAAATCATCTTCATATTCCATAATCTTCTGAAGAATTCGCGGTAGTTAAAAAGATAACTGGAAATATTGGTCTGCTTAAGTTTTGTACTTGGCGTTCAAGCTTAAGACACAATAAAATCCAAAATACTCTTTGTTTAAGATTTTTATAAATAAACAAGAAAGGAAGCTACCTTCGGCCAGCCGAAGCCTATATACCCTTGTAGATAAAAGAATACTCACTCGGTGCAGTTCCAGGGATTCCAGATTCAGCGTTTCGATTTATTTCAATTTTGTTTTTAAGTAGTCAAGAATCAAAACGCCTACTTCCTACAAAGTTACAATGAATTTTCTTATATTTGTTTGGGAGCCTTAAGATATAGTGGTCCGATCCGGCTCGCTCCGACATATGTACTACCTGCAATAGAAAGAAGACCTTCGGGAAAGTTTCATCGCGATAGCTTTAAAACTGAGAGACTAGTTCGCATAGAAACGGACAGACGGACAGACGGACAGACGGACATGGCTAGATAGACTCGGCTATTGGTGCTGATCAAGAATATATATACTTTATGTGGTCGGAAACGTCTCCTTCACTGCGTTGCAAACATCTGACTGAAATTATAATACCCTCTACAAGGGTATAAAAATGGAATTATTTTTAAAAATTAAATAAATTAAATTAAATTAAATAAAAAGTCAAAAGACCGTTTTTGTTCTCCGTTCAGTTCAAACGGTCTTTGATCAACCGAAACCGTTTTGAAACAAAAAAATCGGTTACTGGTTGAGCAAAGACCGAAAACCTTTTGAAACAAAATAAACAGTTTCTATGTGACTATTTGCTCAAAGGGTCCCAAAGTGAGAGTTATTTGGAGACAGCTAGAAATAGTCAACTGTTTTTTACATGCTCTGGTTTCCAATGACTCCAGCTTACAGCTGATTACCATTTTCCGCCACAGTAGGTGCGTGTGACGTAATAAAACTCCATTTCCTACCCTCGTTGGCTAGGGCTTGGGTAACTTTGTTTTGTTTCGGCGACGTGATAATCTGATACATTTTGTCCAATTTCGTCTTTTTTTTTTATTCAACGGTAATTTAGTACAAGATACTTTTACATATACATATACAGGGGGGTGGGGGGAATTGCTGGGCTTGCGGTACTGCCATGAAGCATTGCTTCGCAAGGCCAGCTGCTCTTTTTTGGACGACCAGGTTTTAGGACTGCGCGTTGCGTATGCGGTTTACACGCCTTAGCTCGGGCATACATAATTTCCGTAGGCAAACCGCTGTCCATTTGGCTTGGCATTCTAGCATGCCTGGTACCATATTTCTAAGATTCTAAGACCTCTTTCGCTTTCCCACGTGCTTCTCCAAACCTGACGCAAGATGTCAGCACATGGTCAGCACTCTCCGGAAACAAACGTCGCACAGGGGGCTTGCTTCTTTGCCGAAGCGGCAGAGGTACCTTGAAGCAGCTGTGTCTTCTAAGCACCTGTGTTAGTACGAAAGTCAGCTCCCCAAGTTTTCCGTTGAACCACTCCGCAATGCTTGGGATAAGACGGTGCGTCCAGCGGCCAGTTTTTATTAATTATTAATAATTATTATTATTAATTAATTTAATTCGTGTTAGTCTAACGGGAACATTCAATGTTAAACGGTTTACCAGTTCTACAGAATCAATATCACCTGTTAAAAGATCAAATAAAAACACCTCTTAAAGAGGTAAAAAACTAGTGACGATCGCACCTTCAACATACAAAAGTTCTGATATCAACATTTGTGACGAAAAATTATTACACTCGTCAATAAATAGACAAACTATTCCAGCCTTTTTCCCTTCACAGGCGTTTTCTATTGAAGCGTGCCGAATGAGAAAATATTAGAAAGTCTATTCAATGACGAGTGTAATAATTTTTCGTCACAAATGTTGATATCATGTTGATTAGGGTGGGTCGATTTGGAGGTCAACAAATCGTAGGGGGGAACGTATTCTATAGACTATTCTAAGCAACATTGCCAAAGAAACTATGCCTTGGAAACCACGTTTAACCCTCCGCATTTGCAAGAGAACAATACTGGTTTTTTGATGAAAAATATCTCAGTAGCCTTGACTTTCGAACATTTATATGGACGCGAAAAAAGATATAAATCGTTTGGGCGGAACATAATCAATGGACCATTCTAAGACATATTGGCCAAGAAACTATATGCCTAAAACCACGTTTGACCCTCCGCATTTGCAAAAGAAAAATACTGGTATTTCACTTTATTTTTGAGAAAAATATTATAGTATACGTCATAGAATACGAAATGATTCCATGACCCTAAAATGCAGCTTGGATACAGCTTAGGCAGCGTTAGTTGTGTTGGGCTGGCAAAAGTTTCGTTTCTGAATAACTTTTAAAATTTAAGGAATCTCAAGGGCTATACAGTTTAAAGTTTAAAAAAAATCGTTAGAACCGTTTTTGAAAAAAATAAAAAAAAATAAAAAAAAAATTTTCTTTTGCTCATATCTTTTTTACTATTACATTTACACACTTATAGCATTTAAAAATACCTTTCAAACGAGATGCAGCACAAGTCTGTAGCTTAAGTAGTATAGAAGATACGGCTTTCCGAGTTTTTGGTATTTAAAGCTGTTTTTCCGCTAAACCAGCGGGTTTTTCCAAGAACAAAAGTTTTTTATATCGATGTGATGAACGTCATATCAAATTTTCAGAACTTAAGAAACTTGTTTTGGACAAACTTACAAGCGGACAAACTGACAAACAGAATTAAATTTTCATTTTGACTAGGCCCCCGTAAACGTAGGAGTACCCCT